AGATGATGGATCGTTCTACCAGTCTGCATGGGTCTTGTTCTTGGCCTGGAGGGCCGCTGAAATGGTCTCATGGGTTTCATCAAACCAGTCTTATGATTATACATGTAATTATATGCATAGAAGTATCATCCCTAACTCATCTCTGTTGTTATTTATCTTTTTAAAAAAAATATTATTATTATTATTATTATTGTTGTTGTTGTTGTTGTGGTTGTGGTTGTGGTTGTTGTTGCTGCTGAAGCTTTACACTGAGGTGAGGGCTGAAGTGGGAATTCGAAGGTGGGATTTAATATAATGATTAAAAAAAATAAATTTAGAAAACAGAAAAAAAATGATTCTGTAAGAAAAAAACATTCAAGCAGCCCCTCTTTTGTTCTTTTTTCATCTTTCTTTTCTTCCCCCCCAACTGCTGCTACTTAAATATTTTTATATTATGCTTTAAACTTCTGCAATTATTACTAATTTCTGTTTAAACTATTTTTAGAACAGTTTCTCTTTTTCTTCAGAAACCATATTCTAAGTCTCTTGCCTTGCTGTGTGATATGTCATGTATAAGGGAGCTGTTCTTGCTGGAATCTGGTTAGACTTCTGTTACAGTCGATGTTTCCATTGCTCCATATTCTCCAATGCTGGTCTTTCAATCTTGTACTCTCAGCAAGATCTCTCCTTTCCGATGTTGGGTCTGATTAATTCTTGCCGCTGTCGGCATATATCTTAATAAGTTGTGATGCTTTTCATTAGTATACTCTGGGATCATGCCTAATAAAAAATATTTGTGGCTCCAATTCAAATTTTACTTTCAGAATTTTCTGGATGCTTTGGTGTCTTTCTTTCCGATACTTTTGAGTCTTTTTGCATGACCACCACGAATGGTAAAATGTTCCTTTTTTGTTATGGCATTTCCAGTATTTATTGCTCTATGAATCTTGTCCAGCGTTCAGTTCTGTGATGGCCAGCAGATGCCTTCAAGAATCCTACAAGCGAGACACTAACCCAGCAGTACTCTTTCTTTGTTTTTCTTTAGAAATTAGTGTTGAGAGGCATAGCATAATGTAACCACCACGCTATATTATTCGTATGAGCAGATTTCAGTTATAACAATTTAGAAGATTTATTTTAAAATTAAATGTGATAGAAAAAAGCAGCCTCTGTCTCCTTGAATCAGACTGAACCACAGGGATCTTATAGGAAACACTTGTGTGTTTTCTCCAATACATCTTGCCTTGCGCTGTAACCTTAATCTAATTGGTTTCCTGTTAATGGTTTTATTCAAAACAGCATCAAAACTTGATGATCCATGTTTCTTCCAGATTAATCTTTGTACTTTGCAGAAGTTATGTACATGGCTCATTACTAAAGCTTGCCGAGTATCTAGATGATATCATCATCCTTCAATCAGCCCATTTCCTTTTCCTTTTTCTGTTTTCTCTCTGAATTGAAATAATCTGTTTAAGGTGGAAAGGATTGACTCAGATGTGCAAATCTGTAGAGAAACAGTATTCCGTGGCACTCTACTTCAATAGGTGAGCAGCTTTGATTTCAGAAGTCCTATTCTGCAGCAACGGATCTGACCTGTCTATAATATGGTTTGATGTTATATATTTATATTTATATTTCAGTATGTGTGCTAAAAGTAGTAATAAACAATAAAATATAATAATAAGCATAGGGGAAAAGAGAAAATGTAAATAAAATGTATTATATCTGCCATCCCAATATTACAGGCATGTAAAAACATATAGTTTTTATTAAAAAGTCTATTTTTATACCTACTAAAATTTAAAACACATAGGACAGTATGCATATATTTGCTGGAGCTACAAATATAACAGGTTAGGCCCTAGATGAGTCTTTTTGCTTGAGGATAACCCTCACACGTGGCACAGTAATTGAGCTGGCCATCTGCCTGAAATTAGTTGGTGGCAGAGCTAGAGGTGGAACTCTGGAGATGACTAAATATCTGTGGTGGGGAAGAAAGGATTAATCCTCTCATAGAGCACTATATTGCACCAGGATAATTAGCAAGCTAGACTGGAAGCAGATAAATGGTTGTTCAAGGATATAAGTAGGTTTATTGTAGAAAAATTAATGATGCTGTTAAACTACAACAACAACCAGCAACAACTGTGTATCAATCACAGTTCCTATTTACACTGAAATCTGGGTTCAAATTCTTGTCCTCTATGTCCTGCCCAGGCAGTGTAATGAGCTGGAAGCTACTGTCTTTTGGGTAGGGGGGAGAGTTTCCATCTTTTTGTTTGTTTACTTATTAAACTTCTATGTTGTCCAACTGCAAGCAACTTTGGGTGGCTTCACAACAGTTGAATAACAACAAAAATTACGGAACAATTGAACAATATCCATAAAACAACAGCCATCCAAGGGACAAAACCACCCTTCCATGTCCCCCTCCAGCTTTGAGGGGCCTGCCCAACCATCTTGACCCAAGTCCCAGGGGATGAGCCGGATTTTTAAAAACATTTGAAGGCGGGCAAGGTGGGGCACTGTTCCAAAGAGCAGGTGCAATGACAGAGAAGACCCGCTTCCTGGTTCCCACTAAATGTCATTGCTTAATTGGTGGGCCCTGAAGCAAGCCAATTCTGTTAGGATGGGCAGATGCTACGGGAGACAGGCGGTCCCTTAAATAGGACATTTTTGGAAATGGACTGCTGTGGTGTCAGGCAGTTTGCTCTGACTATGTGACAGTGTGCTTTTTCAGTTATCAATGAAATAACAAGCATATCGCTTCAGGTAATACTTTTAATATACTGCCTAGTTTGGCTCTAAGATTCCTGCTTGTGAAAGTATATGTGTACATGTAGACCTTTAGAGCATAATTAATGGTCAATACCAACACTTTGTCCGGTAATGGTGAAAACTATTGCAGTAGACAACATCAATAATGAGTCCTAGTTAGTAATCCGTCTGCTCTCGTTTGGACTAGTGAAGGTTTTGAGCAGTTTTCAAAGGCAGACCATTGTAGGGGGTTTTGGGGGTGCCTTCGAGTCAGTGTTGACTTTTGGCGACTGCCTGGACTAGACCGTTGTGTATTATGTTAGAGTAATCCAACTGAGAGAGTACCATAACTGACGCCAACTATTCACCCCTTATCCCCATCTGGATGTGGCTGCACTGGGTATATTGGCTGAAACTGATACAAAGTAGTCCTAACCATCGACGTTAGCTCCATTTTTGGTGACAGTAATAGATCCAGGACCGCTCCTAAACGCATGTCTGAGCTTTCTTCAGGAGTATAATGTAAGAAAGAGTAAGGAAGATGACCTTGATGGAGATACGTGAATTCTGTTACCAAAGTGAGCGGGGAAAAACATACTTAATCTACAACGAACCGAAAAGATGTGGAAGAAGCTCAGACAGACACCTCCCAGATTCACATGAGTGTAAGAATGGGGAGGAGGTAAAGCACAGTCAGACTTGCAATATTCTGTTATTATAGCTCTGAAAAGTAGCTTTAGCCTTTCTGTGGAGTTGATTCCTGGTCTGGTCCACCCAGTGGGGTTTATATAAAACTTTCTCTAGCACAGGTGCCACGTTGCCTATTCATTAAATGCCACTGGCCTTCATCCAATTCACTATTCCACTTTCAAATGTCCCAGAAGACTGAAATATTCAGAGTAGGGCATTACTGGGATGTGATGGCAGCTTCTATCAGCTATTATTCAATGTTACTCTATAGTCTTCCTTATCATAGTAAATGGGATATAATTTTGACTGGATCATTGGCAGTCTAGACTCCTAATGCTCAGTCTGAGCACTGATGATGTTACCTAGTTGGGTCATGAAACGTCTGCAATCAAACAACCAAGCTCAGAGAGCACCAAGGACTTCACAGTCTGGACTCACTAGCAGCTGGAGCTTGAGGTTATCTAATGTTCTGCTAAAGGCATGTTGGTTTGTAGTTTTGGATTTCAGTCTAAGAAAAAATATTACCCTGTTCCTTGTTTTTCATTTTTCAGTGCTTTGTGAAGAAGACGAGAGCTTCTTGTGCAGAACTGGGATTTGCATCCCAAGGACTCTGCAGTGCAATGGCTTTAATGACTGTGACGACTGGAGTGACGAAATACATTGCAGTAGGTTCCTAAATGCATCAGACAATATACTAATGGAAAGAACAGCATCACAGTTATTAGAATGACTTGGAAACAAATGTCACCCACTGTATCTGTATAAAAATTTATATATGCCTATTTTAGACTTCTCGAACTGTTCAGTTTGGTTGAATCTGCCCACTGAATATTCTTACAGAATATGCTTTTTCATTCTTCTTTTTTATAAACATCATTTCCTTAGCTAAAATTTCTGCAAAATGCAGATGCAGTTTTTAAATATCTGAATTATCGTTTCACAAAAGAACACCCCAATAAATACGCAACTGGCAGCTAATGCAAAAACAACAACAACAACAAAAAACCAACAACAACTGAACCGTCAACACAACCATTCCATGGGCTCTGGCCTGTCTTTCAACCCTCATGCCTGGTTGAGGTAACCAAGTTACTTTTCCCAATTTGTTATCCCGAGTCACTTCATTGCAAACAGCAAATTATCATAGACAAAGAAAAGTTCAGCTTATGTAAAAAATATCAAGTCATATAAAGTTTTTTTCCCTCTCCAAAGTAATTCTCAAGTCTTTACAATAAAATGCTGCAATAAATCCTATTGTGTCATTCATGCCTGACCAGTTGGATTGTTATTGTTACTGTTATTGTTATCCTCAGTTTCCCTGGTTAAGGCGATTAAGAAGTTGACATATAATGCCCCTCCCCCGCAAACCCATATACCAACACAAACAGTTTAAAATTCAGCTAATAATATTGGAAGAGTAATTAAAATAATTGTCAACCCAACTTAGAAAGACTGGCTAAAGACAAAAAGATTGATTTCTTTCATAAAAGTGGAGTCTGTGAATGTGTCCCATAGTGTGGGAATAAAGCTGGAGAAGGGCGTCTCGCATGTGCGCAACAAATGAACTACTGAAATCAAGGCCAACTTCAAAAAGGCCTCTCCGGCTGACTTTAGCATCCTTGCAGGTTCATATGAAGATATGGATTCTCAAGTAGTCTGAGTTTGAACCTACAGTAGTCTGGAAGTCAAAATCATCACTTTGAATTATGTGTGTGGAAAGCAGTTGGAACGATTGAAGTACTTGAGGACCTGGTGGATAGCTCAGTGAAGATGTTCTTTGATACATTCCATGCTAGGCATTACTGTCAGCATTTCAGTGCCCTGATATACATCTATGGCAAATCCACGTCTAGAATAATGCATATGGTTCTGATTGCCATATTTGAAAAAGTTTATGATAGAGCTGGAAAAAATACAGCACAGGGCAACCAAAGTGATGAGTGGGATCAAACCCCGCAAGAAAAGATTCTTTAACCTGGCAACTGAAGGAGACATGTTTAAGCTCGATAGAATACAGGCAATCCCCGGGTTAAGAACGCCTGGTTTATGGATGACCCATAGTTAAGAATGGAGCCTATTGTAGCAATCGAGTCAAATACACAATGATCTGAGTTAAACACACAGTGATTCGAGTTCATTACACAATACTACTTATACAGTATTATACAATAGTACTGTTCCTGCATACATACGAATTTGACTCAAGGACAGACCTTGGGAACGGAACTCGTTCTTAAACTTGGGACACCCTGTAATGCATGTGTGGAGAAAATGCACACAGAGAAATTTTTCCTTCTTCTCTCAAAATCTGAGGTTATCCAGTGAAGCTGATTGGAAAGAGATTTAGGCAAGCTGACCTAGAAAAAGTTCCATCGTATATGGCCCCAGAATCCACTAGATATACTGTAGCTGCCACCAGATATCTCAGGCAGCTAGAAGTAGTGAACTACCGGAGCGCCTTTTCACTCGCCCGATGTCATGTACTCCCTTCAGCTGTGCTGGATGGTAAATATAAGGGAGTCCCACTGGCTAAAAGGCTGTGCCCATGTGGTTCTGGGGAAGTGGAAACCACTGGGCATGTCCTCTTATGGTGTCCATTTTATAGAGAAATACGAACAAAATTTATTTCTCCAACGATCAGCAGATATCCTGGCAGACCAGACACTGAATACCTTCAAATCCTCCTTAAAGATGAGTGGAGTAATGTTACAGTGCAGGTAGCAAGATTTTGTGCAGCAAATACGAACAAAATTTATTTCTCCAACGATCAGCAGATATCCTGGCAGACCAGACACTGAATACCTTCAAATCCTCCTTAAAGATGAGTGGAGTAATGTTACAGTGCAGGTAGCAAGATTTTGTGCAGCAGCCCTTAAGAGTT